CACACACACACACACACACACACATGCAGAGCTGGAGGGCAAAACAAACCTGCAGGGAGTCTGACAGCACACACGCTCTCTAAAACAGAGAGAGGGCATTTCAGGTACTTCCTAAAATCCCTCAAGGTGTCCAACACGCCTCTCCCTCACTGCGCCAACAAGAACTTGATTTGTTGGAAAAACATATTTCTCCTTGAGACAGCGCAGGTTGCCATCCTTCAACACGCATTTAATTCACAATATCTCACCTCTGAGCACCACAGCAGCGGCCCGCGTGGGACACAAACCGACATCTCTCATCAGCACTTGAAAGCACCACGCGCCAAACAAGTGAGACCTTGCACATCACATATTGCTTCCTGGAATAACAAGGAAAGTGCTGACCTTGAAAAATTACACACACATGTACACAAGGAGACCGGATTTTAAACTCCAAATGATTAGCAGCTACTTTGCATTCTTATCCAAGATGTAAGAGCGAAAACATGGAAAAGGAGAAGATTAAAAGCGGCAACAAAAAAAGACGTTACCTCCGCCGGGAAGTGAGCACTGCATCTGTGGTCATAGCCCAGAGTTGAATGAAATGAGAGAGGTGTTGAGAGGAGATCAGGAGAGAGGGAGAGCAAAACTAACAAAAGGTCCACTCAGTGTTTTTCCGATCTGGCCCTCTCTCCCTTACTGGATTTGCTCGGGCCCTGAACAAGAGGAGGCTCCACCATACTCAAGCTGAGTGTTTACTGCCTTTCTATGTGTATGTGAGAGAGACACCAGCACGTTACGTAACCCACTAGTGGCACTGTCATCGGTGCCAAAGCCGGCATTGACTCACACACACACTTCGGGGCCATTTCGTGAAAGGACAGGAAGAGGTTTGTAGCAGTGCCAACGGGGTTGAGGTGCAGGAGTTGTAGTATAATTACACACACACACACACACACACACACATTCCCTCAGCCCACGTACCTACTGTATATCCACACATACGCAAAGAGTAGCACATGCCCATATTCACGCCGTGTCCCAGCAGATGACATCCAGCTATTAAATCCTTTCATCTCTTCCATCCCTCCATCTTGTAACGTCCACGCTCTGTGCCGGAGATGATGAGGCTGTTTGTGGCTACAGTTGATCTGGCGCTGAATGTGAATGAGCCTCGGTGGTGAGGAACCAAATGACACCGTTACATAAAGGCCTCGGCTATTCAGAGAGGACAGCCAGGCTTTTATTTTGCCACTGGTGTGAGTGGAGTGTTTGGCTAGCGAGGCTACCAAAAAGTGGCCCACAGATGCCTTCAGTGTCACGGTCATGTGAAAACTGAGACTTCTTGGGTTCCTCTCTACTAGTGGTGTCCGCTGGTCTGCTTGTGCGTAGGCCCAAAAGTTTCGTAATCATGTCCTCAAGATGAATTGATAGGGAAGTGCCAGTTGTTTGTATGGTTCCTGGAAATTGTTGATCATGATGCTCATTATGGGTAAAATGGGGACAGTGTTTGATGATCACACTACCTGTTGTTTAATCCCAGTCAGCTGAGTATGCAAACATGTGCAATAACATTAAACATATATGGAGAACAAATGATAAAGGACTGTTTACCCAGGTGATGATGGAGACGTTATTTAAAATCAACAAGCTACTTACCTCAACACAACCAAACTGTTTTTGTCTCTAATTTCTCATTAAAGTCCCCATTAAATCGAACATACATTTAATCCTGTGTCCCTAATGGACTGTTTATAGCTTCTTATGTGCAACATATGTGCCAAACAAATCAGTATTAGAGTATTGTTACATCCAAATCCTTGTCTTTTCTCTTTCTGTAAATGGTGTCAAGTGTTTGCTGACTCATTCTGTGCTCAGGGCGTTAACCAAAGTTTGTCTAATCAAATGAGAGCAGCGAGCAACACCGGTCACATATGCAGAGAGAGATAAAACGAGCTGCGTATTTAAATGTCAGCAGACAAAATTGTTGTTTCCATTGCCAAAAATAACGTAGCGTAAGTCGAATTCATTCATCTCTGCCTCATCCTTCTCCAGGGGAGGTGTGTGTGGAGCCAAGAGTCTGCTGTAGTTTTGTATCTAAACTCTTTTTAGCAGTCCAACTGGGCAATATGTCAGAGCACAGAAGCTAAAAGCACTCAAACTTCAGTTTCATGGAGGACTTTAAAGCTGGAGGGCAGAACTTTTGTCTGCCCCCTCAGGGAATAAGAGTAATTACACAAACACTGTTGACATCTGCGTATGACAAATGCCTGCGAGTGAGTTTACCACGTCATCCACCCCCAGGAGGGCTCTCTTATCCTTCCTATGAACACCAAGGTTTCTTGGACGCTTCTTATGATTCTCCGCCATAGCTTCCGCCATGCAGCTGCTCTGTCACTATCTTTGGCTATGATCTCTACCCCTCAGTCCGACTGGGGATCACTCTGGGAGTTTGCGCTAGCCAAAGTCGAGCCACTACAACCAGCGACCCAGGGTCCAGTCTTGAGCTACTGCCTGGTTTTGAGACAGTCTAGTGGCAGAGGACAAACTGTAGAGGCTCTAGCTTAGGTTAGCTACGTAAACGTGAACTTGAAGCTTTAGCCATCCTTTGGCTCTCGTTTGTCTTGTTTTGTAAGACTGTCTTGACGACTCTCTTTTTGGTAATTCTGTCATCCTTTTTTGGGGTTGCTTTTCAGTGTAGGGAGTCAATGTCAACGCAGAAGTAGCATCTTTCTCTGCAAGACTCTCCGCCACTGGATCCCACTTTCACCAAAGGGACGTGCACGTGCATCCACATTTAGCCTCGCGTCACCAGGCTCTTCACGTACGGGAAGAGTCTGGTTTCCATTCACTCTGAATTTTGTCTGGATTCTGGTTCCGGTCTAGAGAGCAGATCCGGAATTCACCAAATTCACCAAAGTAAAAGTGTTCTTGTGTTTTCTTGTAAATTATATTCTTTAACTTAAAAAGTTTCACCGCATTTTTATTAGCTTGGTGCTTTTATTTTGACAGAAAGGCGCATCCATTGAATTCCAGATCCTGTCTCTCTCGCCCTGGTTCTGGTTCCTTACTAAAACAGCCACTAGATGGCCCCAGACTAATCCGCATTTATGGAACAGCTGATAGGAACGTCTTCTCTTTTTAAATGACCTGTGATTGGCCAAGTCTTGGTCAAAAGACTTGACCTGTGATTGGCCAAGTCTTTTGTGAAAGGCTAGATTTTTCCTATTACTGCATCTTGCTAACTCGGCCATTCTGGATGTCACTAACTCGGCTTCTTCTCCGGAGCCTTTGTGCTCCACTGTCTCTCAGATTAACTCATATCGCAGCGGTGCCTGGACAGCGTGACGTGTGTGGTTGTGCTGCTGCTGTGGTCCTGCCAGATGCCTCCTGCTGCTGCTGCCATCATTAGTCATTAGTCATACTTCTACTGTTATTATACACATATGACTATTGTCACACATGTATACTGCCAGATATTAATACGTACTTTCAACATATTGTACCACAGTAGCCAGAACTATAACTATAATATTATTACTTTCAATAATGTTGTAAGCTACTGTCATTACCTGCATCTCTCTCTCTCTCTCTCTCTCTGTCTCTGTCTCATTGTGTCATGCGGATTACTGTTAATTTATTATGCTGATCTGTTCTGTATGACATCTATTGCACGTCTGTCCATCCTGGAAGAGGGATCCCTCCTCAGTTGCTCTTCCTGAGGTTTCTACTGTTTTTTTTCCCCATTAAAGGGGTTTTTTGGGGAGTTTTTCCTTATCCGCTGCGAGGGTCATAAGGACAGAGGGATGTCGTATGCTGTAAAGCCCTGTGAGGCAAATTGTGATTTGTGATATTGGGCTTTATAAATAAAATTGATTGATTGATTGAATTGAAGTGTGTGATTTGAGACACATCATTTGATTGTTTCCTGCTAAACTGATGAAAGTCCTCCTGTGTCTTCCACTGTAGTGTGGGTTTGCCTGAGATGGACTTGACAGGGGTGGAGCTGGAAAAGGTAATCTCACTTTTTTATTTTTTCATCACCACCATCATCATCATCATTTCTGTCAACAACGTCTGAACATCCAGACAAAAAGAAGCTGTTTTTAAAGTAAGAATGTGGTTACAGCTTGAGATGTCTATCAACGAGATGTTCAAGAAACTGACAACGGATCTAGGAAGGTATGAAACATGATGAGGAGGAGGAGGAGGTTTGAGATGATGAAGAATATCAGGAGGAGGTTTGAGTGGTAACAACTGAGGTGATGAAGATTATGCTGATGATGGGGGGTCAATCTATTATGACTGCAGATACGGATTCTTTGTTATTGCTCTTCAAAGAGACTATCAATAAGTATTTCAGGCCGCAGAGCTGCACACGGTTAGATGGGTATTCATAGAAGTACTGTAAGTGGCCCAGTAGAGGTGCAGTCCGGCTCCTGCAACTCTGTTAGCTAGCTTCAACAAGCAAAAATCACATATTAAAGGATAACTTAGGTATTTTTCAACCTGGGCCCTATTTCCCCATGTGCATGTGTGTGTATGATTCATAGGTACAACTTGTTTTAAAACTGGTTCCATATTGAGGGAGCCATGAAACGAGCTAAAACAGTAATGGGGGCAAATGCGTAGTTTGCGCATTAAAAGTGATTTTTTTCGCCACTGACCGGTTCAGATTGCCAGTACTATCTCTGTAAATAGCATACTAAGCGTTTCCCTTACCTCTGGGCTGTGTGTGACGTCATCTCGCAAGAGCTTTGCTCCACTGTGTCTGTAGCTGTCTCTACTCGTGGGACAGCCGTTTTCTTGAGGAAGAGGTGTTTCGGGATTGGATGTCTTCTCTTCTTCGTCTGGCAGTAGTCATCTTGGGAGAAGTGAGCACTGCAGACCCGGTGGTCTGCAAGGTGCAGTGTCTGGACAGAAGTGTTAGCATCCATTTGTTGCACAACTAGCCACAACTTCAGCATCTCGCTGTCTGACAAAGGCAGCCTATGAAAGCTGTACAGGGTGTTGCGCGACATCCTGTTCTTGAAATTAGGATGAGCACAAACACGAACCATTGTTTTCAATCGATGCAGTGAAACTCTCAACTGTACTCCGGGACAACCAGCGCCACTGTGAGCGGCGCTCAGCATGGCTCTGTTTTCTTCCGGGAACAAGCAAAGCTCTCGCGAGACAACAACACAACCTAGAGGTAAGGGAAACGCTTAGAATGCTATTTTCAGAGATAGCACTGGCGATCTGAACCGGTCAGTGGTGAAAAAAAGCACTTTAAATGCGCAAACTTATACGGGACGCATTTGCCCCCGTTACCGTTTTAGCTCGTTTTGCGGCTGCCGGCTGCATCTGCCTCCCTCAATACTGAACCAATTTCAAAACGAGTTGTACCTATGAATCATACGCACACATACACATGAGGAAATAGGTTGAAAAATACCGAAGTTATCCTTTAACAAAATGTGTGAATGATTTCTTAAAGTCCAGGTAAAGTACCCAGCCAAATCTGAATAATTAATAAGGTTGCAAAGTATATAAAGTTATGCTTCAAATCATGAAAAAAGGCAGTATTCTCTGCTCTGAGACACTGGGGGTGTGTCTGCCAAATGCGCTGAAGTTACACCCACTCGTGGGAAGGCTGCAGTCTCCCTTCATTGTAGCACGACAATGGATGCTTCATCAACTTGTACAGCAAAACATGTTTGAGCCACCATAGCCAGAAACAAAGTCAGCGTCAGAGGACACTCTCCTGCTTAGAATCAACCTCCTTCTTCTCAGTCAGCAATATAACGCTAATTATGGGCTTACAAAAAAAAAAAAAACAGGCCATAACTTAAGTTGTCTTCTTTGAGCAATCCCGATTAAGCTCAGTGGACAGCACTCAGTCCTTAGCATACCCAACAAGTTTTGTTCACATTCAAAAAAGGGGTCGAAATGGTGTGACTCTGGTGGTGCAGTTAATGAAATGCTGACATTTGGCAGTTGAGCTGTTTTTTTCTGTTGACCGATGAAGGGTTTGAACCCAGAGTTGCTGTTTGTTGATATAATTTATTTTGTCTGAGTTTTTTTCTTTTCTTGAGTTTGTGTGAAATCAGTAAACCTGTGCAGGTGGTTGTCTCCTGTTGAACCAATAAAAGTCGTCCTGTGTCTTCTGCTGTAGGTTGAATTTACCTGAGATTAAGTTGATACAGGTGAAGATGAAAAAGGTAATCTGTGCTGTCTGATTGTTTTCCATCATCATCAACATCACCATCATCATCATCTTCACCATCTTATCTGTCAGTTCATCTATATATATTTTAATAAATTGTGTTCACAGCTTCAGATATTCATCAACAAGATTTTTAAGAAACTGACAAAGGATCCTGGAAGGTATGAAACCTGAGGAGAGAGAGGTTTGAGGAGATGGAGAATTAAGTCTTTTATCAGTGCAAACGTTGATTCTAGTATTTGATATGGCCCCACCCGCCACCAAAAATCCAAACACATAATTGGATGCTGCTGTTCATACTCACACATTAATCATCACAGAAACACAAAAACTAACAAAGATGTGCAAATATTACACTTTTATTGCACTACTTTTATTTTAAAGATTTAATTTGGCCTATTAGTTACAGTACTTGTGTACAATAATTTAAATTTGTTGCTAGGTTATATTATTATAGGTTATAATAAGCCACCCCACAGTATATAAGTTATTAAAATGACCACCGTTATCTGCTGCAGCATCAGTGTTATAAACACATTAGTTATTAAGGAAAATCTAAAATGTTGTTACAATTGGCCCAGGTCTCCCCTAACTGAAAATATTGAGTTAGTCTCTCAGAATAATGAGAGAAGTTCTGAAAGTGCCTGAAAATAATTATAAATCATCATTAAATCATTTTGAAAAAGTTGCTCATTAAGAGACTTACATTTTAAAATAGAATTAACATTAATTAAGAGACAAGATCTTTTTTTTGGTTTATAATGTAAAGAATTGTAAAATGTCACTTTTACGAGGTACAGACATCGACAGTGACGATGTGTTGTTGAATGTTTACATCAAAAGTTCATAAAGCCCACCCACTGTGATGATCTGAGTGTCTGGGAAACCTATTAAGATGGAATAAAAAGGTTCATGGTAATGCTAATTATGCGTTTGGGCTCTGTCATCTTCCAACATAAACAGGACCACATTATGTCATGTGCAGTGAAAGTACCACACTCCTTTTCAACTTAAAAAGAACTCTGCAGGCTACGTGCAGCTTGACCTTCGTTGCGGCTGCATGTGAGGATGAATTGCAAATTTCAGCCTGTGATCTCTCACTAACTGACTGACAGCCTCATCGAAGTGACATTTTACAATTCTTCATATTTTAAACTTCAACAGTGACAATGTGTTGTTAAATGTTTGCATCAAAAGTTCGTATAGCCCACTCAGTGTGATGATGTGAGTGACTGGGAAACCTATTCAGATGGAAACACTCACCCATTCAGTAGGAATACAAGGTTCATCGTAATGCTAATCATGTGATAAATAGAAGAGCCGAGGAGTCGTTTTCACACTATGCAAAACAGCTGAATGAGCGGCGCTTTGTGAAATATCGCTTCCATGAATCTGTTTAGACAGACAGTGACAGATCAAAAATAATAAAATCATAAAATCAAAATAATAATTAAAAAAGAAAAGATCTATGTAATCATTTCCAATATTCACAAGCTGTTTTTATTTAACGAAAGAGTCTGCTTCGGTCCATATTTTTTGGGGTCTAGTCTAGTCTTTGAAAAACATTTTCGCTGAGTTTAAAAAAAAACAGCACCATATATTACATTTATATAGCCATAATAAGGGCACACACACACACATATAAATATGTATANATATATATATATATATATACTTTATTTATTACTATATGACATCATTATCATTGCCATTGCAGATATCACTTTAATTTTCATGCAATTCTTTTAAATAACAAAACGCTGAAGCATAATATTTATAACCTATGATATGGTAGCCTGATAATCATTAAATATGCTCTGTGTGAGAAGCTCTCAGTAATAAGAGGAGCAGTAAACCGCTTCAGCTTCCACACTCACTGCTCCCCCTGGTGAATAGACAGACCATTGCAACTGGTTTCTACAGATAAAACTTAATTCCCAGTCGCCCTGTATTCTATACGTCATTGCGGGGGATCTCATTAGAGCTACGAGCCCGGCCAGGTGATGACAGGGACCTGTCACGAATTGGTCAGGGTTCTACCACAGGCCAAATGGAAATATGACTGGCTGCACCTGTATGTTTTATTAGTTTTTACATTTCTTTCTTTCTTTCTTTCTTCTTTTTTTTTTGGTTTCTCAGGTAATTTATTTTATTAAATTCTATGTTATTAAATGATTGAACCCTTTTCCGGTTTCTCATGTTATTTATGCATTCAATTATGTGCCCCATTTTGTTTATTTCTGCTGTTATTAATTTTGTCATATTTTATTTCTTTTTTTGTTCATAATTTTGCTTGGTTGACTGACTTTGTGTGGAGTCAGTAAACCTCTGCATTTCTTTGTCACCTACTGAACTGATGGAAATTCTCCTGTATTATAGGTTGAATTTACGTAAGACGAAGTTAATACAGGTGAAAATGGAGAAGGTAATGTACACTGTTTGATTTTTTTTCATCATCATCATCAACAACACCATCATCACCTCTGTAAACACTTTCTAAATATCAAAAGAAAAATTACAGTTATTGTTCTTTATGAATGTGGTTATAGGTTCAGATGTTCATCAACAAGAAGTTTAGGAAACTGACGAAGGATCTAGGAAGGTATGAAACATGATCAAGAGGAGGAGAAAGTCTTTTATAAGTGCAAATATTGATTTGGTTGCTCCACTTTAAAGCCAATAGCTATAGGTATTTAATGTGACCCTTACTAAAAAAAAATCCCAACACATGATTGGACACTGCTGCTTCATACTCACACATTAAAAGTTGACAGGTTGCAGATTTACTGAGTGATCTGGATCACCCTGCTGAGTTAAACCTGGATCAGGCCTTTACATCAGGCCAGGTTCACCATTTATTTCTGATCCATTGTCCCAGTTTGAGTTGCTGCCTCCTTATGTCTTTCCAAAAATGAATTTTTGGACCCTGATTATAGTGCTACCATCTAAGCTTTATGCATCATATTTTGTGAAGCAGCATTTTCACACAAATTCCAGTCATTGGTGAATGTCATATGTTAACAATGTATCATCTCACAGGAATTTTCAAAAACATATCTGAAAAAAAAAAACATATATAAAATGACACAAAAAATAGGGTTCTTACAGAAGCACATTGCTGCCACACCAGGAAAAACAAACATCAATATCATGTGATAATGTGAACATTTTTTGTTAAAACAAGATGTTTTTCACTTTTTTAAAGGATATTTTCATATTATAACAAGATATTTTCACTAAACCATACAACATTGTGTTATTACAAAAAAACCTGTGTCCATCTGCACATCATAAAACCTCTTAGATACCTTTAATGCAGATGTCATGAACTGTCAAATGTCTTGATCCTCTACAGCTTTCAAATATTAATGGTAAACCTGTGCAGCTGTTTGTCTTCTGTTGAACTGATGATAATCCCTCTGTCTGCTGCTGTAGGTTGAATTTACATGAAATAAACTTGAAACAGGTAGAGCTGGAAAAGGTAATCTGCACTATTTTTTTTTTTTTTTTTTTTTAAAAAAAAAGAAGCATTATCATCATCATAATGATCATCATTATTTCTGTCTCCCTGAGCACCCAAACAGCATTTATTTGTTATAAAACATAAAAATGTGTTTACAGCTTCAGATGTCCATCAACGAGATGTTCAAGAAACTGACAATGTGTCTGCGAAGGTATGAAATGTGAGGAGAAGGAGGAGGAGGAGGAGGAGGAGGAGGAGGGGGAGATTTGAGCTGATGAAGAATATGAGGGGGAGGATGCCCAAGTCTATTGTCAGGGCAAACAAAGATTCCGTTTTTACTGCCTGCCCCGACCACTTCAAAATTCCCAACACAAGTGGACACTGCTGCTGTTAGTCCCACATTAACTGCTGACAGGTTTCAGGTTTACTGAGTGATCTGCTTCAACCTGCTGATGTCCATAAATCCAGTAGGAGGTCATAGAGGAAAGACATTGCAGAATTGAAGAAAAAAGATGCAGAACTTTCCCAAGAATCATCTCAGACCTTCATTTAGCAGTTGTAACTTTAGCAACTGGAATTCAGCCTGTGCAAGACCCAGCAACAGGGGTATGATCCCAGACTGCCCTGACTCCCCATCAATAAACTTTATGTAGCTGCTGTTACACAAGTTAGACAGAGTACTGCCACTGGCCACCTGCCCACTGTGACCCGCTGGCTAATTATTTTCTAATCTGTGGTCAGATCAAATTCAGTGCTTTGTAATGTTAGCTGATTAATTTGTTAACAGCAAGCTAGTTAGTATAATTGAGCCAATGGATCAAATGACGTAGGAACACTACAGACAGTGACGTTATTGAATATGGTTGAAGTTTATTTTCAGCATTCTATCATAATTGTGCCAGTCAATTGTGTTCAGTCTTTTGTGTGTCACATAACTGTTTTGACCAGTGCCCAGTTGGGTACTCACACATACAGAATGCGAGTGTGAGCAACAAGATGCTGACTGCAGTTCACGTGAGGGCCAAGTGTCTTATCAATAACAAGGCTTTTTTAGAAAGTTGGATAGTCAACCTTTAAATTCTTAATTTATAGTAAGCTTATGTTTATTCATTTTGAGTCTATTTAGGTGTTTTTCATTTTGATCATTTCTTTAAGGTTTTCATGTTTTATTGTGTTTTTTATTGATTTTTTTTTAAATTTAATTATATTGCTAATGGTTTGACTTCAGTTACCTGTGCAGCCATTGGTCGATTGTTGAAATGATGAAAATATTCCTGTCTTCTGCTTTTTTTTAAATTAAACAAAAATATTGTAAGTGATTTAACTTCAGTATACCTGTGTAAACCTGTGAAGTGATGAACATTTTCCTGTCTTTTGCTGTAGTTTGGAATTACAGCATCTTTGCCGCCATCCTCATCATTGTCATCCTCACCATCATTTGGCTGAGGCATCTGAGGAGGAGATGCTCAAAGAATTCTCGATGGAGTGGACGACAGAGCATCTGGAAAGGTATGTGATGCTGAAGTTGATCATAGAGCAGAAGGGTTGCAGCCTCACCTGAAGGAGAGCAAGGAACAGAGTTGGCACTAAATAAGATTAACTGTTGTGGTTGGAGCTTTCATTTGATGCAGATTGTGACTGTTTGTCTCCTGTTGAACTCATGAAAGTCCTCTTGTGTCTTCTACTGTAGTTCAGAGTTACCTGTGATGGACTCGACAGAAACTAGAGTAGGAAAAGATCAGCACGGTTTGATTTTGCATTACCATCAGCATCCTCATCATCATCGCAATCCTCATCACCACCGTCATCATCATCATCCTCGTCGTCATCATTATCACCATCATCCCCATGGCCATCAACATGGTTTGATTTTGCATCCTCTTCATTATCGCCATCCTCATCATCCTCATCACCATCCCCATCATCATCGTCATCCTCATCATCATCATCACCATCATCATCCTCATCATAATCGGCATCATCATAATCCTCATCACCCTCATGGTCATAAATATCATCCCAATCACCATCATCATTCTTATTATTATAATCCTCATCACCCTCATGGTCATCAACAAGGTTTGATTTTGCATCACCATTGGCATCCTCATCATCCCCATCATCCCCATCAACGTCCCCATCATCATCAGTATCCTCATCCTCATCACCGTGCCCATCATCATCCTCATCCTCATCACAAACATCCTCATCATCACACTCATCATCATAATCCTAACCGACTTCATGTTCATAAACATCACCCCCATAATCATCACCATCTTCACCTTCAACATCTTCCCAGTCACCATCATTATCCTCACCATCATAATCCTAAACAACTTCATGTTCATAAACATCACCCCAATCATCATCATCATCATCATCATCATCATTCTCATCAACGTCCCCATCATCACCCTCATGGCAATCAACAAGGTTTGAATTTGCATCACCATCAGCATCATCATCACCATCCTCATCATCCCCATCAGCGTCCCCATCATCATCATAGGCATCCTCATCATCATAATATTCATCACCCTCATGGTCATGAACATCATCCCAATCACCATCATCATCATAATCATCATCAACCTCATGGTCATGTACATCATCCAAATCACCATCATCATCATCATCATCATCATCATCCTCATCATCGTAATCTGCATCACCGTCATGGTCATGAACATCATCAACATCATCCTAATCAACATCATCATCCTCATAATCTTCATCACCCTCATGGTCATAAACATAATCCAAATCACCATCAACATCCTCATCATCGTAATCCCCATCACCCTCATGGTCATCATCACAGTTTGATTTTGCATCACCATGAGCATCCTCATCATCATCGCCATTCTCACTATCCACATCATCGTCCCCACGATCAACGTCATCGTCATCCTCATCGCAATCGTCGTCATCATCACCCCCATCATCATCGTCATCCTCATCAGCATAATCCTCATCACCCTCATGGTCTTCAACATCATCCCAATTACCATCATCATCCTCATCACCCTCATGGTCATAAACATTATCCCAATCACCATCATTATCCTCACCATCATAATCCTAAACAACTTCATGTTCATAAACATCACCCCAATCATCATCATCATCCTCATCAACGTCCCCATCATCACCCTCATGGCAATCAACAAGGTTTGAATTTGCATCACCATCAGCATCATCATCACCATCCTCATTATCCCCATCAGCGTCCCCATCATCATCATCGGCATCCTCATCATCATAATATTCATCACACTCATGGTCTTGAACATCATCAACATCATCCTAATCAACATCATCATCCTCATAATCTTCATCACCCTCATGGTCATAAACATAATCCAAATCACCATCAACATCCTAATCATCATAATCCCCATCACCCTCATGGTCATCAACACAGTTTGATTTTCCATCACCATGAGCATCCTCATCATCATCGCCATCCTCACTATCCACATCCCCATCCCCATGATCAACGTCATCATCATCCTCATCGCAATCATCGTCATCATCACCCCCATCATCCTCATCCTCATCAGCATAATCCTCATCACCCCAATGGTCATAAACATCATCCCAATCACCATAAGCATCCACATCATCATAATCCTCATCAGCCTCCTGGTCATGAACATCATCCACATCATCATCCCAATCAACATCATCAACATCATCCCAATCATCATCAGCATCCTCATCATCATAATACCCATGGTCATCAAAACGGTTTGATTTTGCATCACCACAGGCATTCTCATCATCATCGCCATCCCCACCATTCTCATCACCATCCCCATCATCACCGTCATCCTCATCCTCATTACAATCATCATCATCGTCATCCTCATCATCATAATCCTCATCATCCTTATGGTCATGAACATTATACAAATCACCATCTTCATCCTCATCATCATAATCATCATCCCAATCACCACCATTATCCTCACCATCATAATTCCCATCACCCTCATGGTCATCAACTTCATCCCAATCAACATCATCATCATCTTCATCATCATAATCCTCATCACCCTCATGGTCATCAACATCATCCCAATCACCATCATTATCCTCATCATCATAATCCTCATCAAGCTCATGGTCATGAACATCATCCACATCATTATCCCAATCAACATCATCATCCTCATCATCATAATCCCCATCACCCTCATGGTCATCAACATCATCCCAATCATCATCAGCATCCTCACCATCATAATTCCCATCACCCTCATGGTCATCAACATCATCCCAATCAACATCATCATCCTCATCATCATCATCATCATAATCCTCATCACCCTCATGGTCATCAACATCATCCTTTCTACTATACATTGGAAATACCTGAGATGGACTTCGCACAGGTAAGTTATGTTTGATTTTTCAGCACCATCATCATCATCATTATTTTTGTCAACACCTTCTGAACATCCAAACAAAAATAAGTTGTTTTAAAAATAAAATTGTGGATACAGTTTCAGATATCCATTGACAAGATGTTGAGGAAACTGATGGACTATCTGCAAAGGTATGAAATGTGAGGAGAAGGTGGTTTGAGATAATAATGGATATGGGGAGAAGGTTTGAGTGGTAAGGTCAAATGAGGTAATAAACATTATAAGGAGGAAGGCACTGAGTCTATTATGAGTGCAAATATTAGTTTTGTGTTATTGCTCATGACTTTAAAATTGCCCCTCTGTGTAAGTGTAAGTGTAAATGTTTGTCTGTCTCTATGTATAAGTCTTGTGATAGTCTCGAGACCTCCTTCAGAGTATACCCTGTGTCTGGCACACTGACAGCTAGGATTGGTTCCAGCTGCACTTCACCCTATGAAAAAAAAAGTCATAGAAAATCAATGGATGGATGGATGGATGAATGGATGAATGGATGGATGTTGTTGCCCTTTAAGGGCACTATTTGTAGGCATTCCACTAGCAATGTCCACACCATCAAGAAGATGCATTTGAATGATTTATTACTGAAAAGAGATTGATGTGTAAGGCTTGAAACTCACTTCTAGTTCTTATGCTGGCTGTCTGCATTGTGGGGAGGCTTCAATAGGAAATCCATAAAAGCATTCAGGCATCCCTGACCCCCTTCTGGAACCTACACAGTAAATGAAGGAGCTGAAGATACAGGAGGAGAGAAAAAGCGTTTAGAGAGGGGCACAGAATGTGAGGGAAAATGCACTGGAGAGAGTTAGGTAGGAATTATAGCAGTGCTGGAAGTGGTCGGGTAGAGGTGTAGTCCTGCTCCTAAAATTCCATTAGATAGTGACCTGACCTCATAACAGATCTCCAATATCAAAATATCAAATGGCTATCAGAAACAATCAGTAAGTATTAATAATAGTTAATAATTATGTTAAACAGTGTGACTTAATTTACAGTAAATCATCTCCTGGGGCACCATTCCTGAAAAGGGAAAAATAATAGCCAGTTTATGATATTAGTCTCGTAAAATACACTATTAATGTGGAACTCTGATTAATATTTAAATTAATAACCATAACCAAAGTTGCCACAATCATCATAAAGGTTGAAGGATTTTGGAGTTCTTGACACAGCAGATGATGACTGTTCATTCACTCTTGTGCAATATTAAACAGACAGCAGGTATGATTCCAAATATTTTTATTTATAAAGCAAGTAAAGCAAACAAAACACACAAATTATGTCTGTGTGTGAGTGTTCGTGTGTGTGTGTGTGTGTGTGTGTGTGTGTGTG